ATATGATATGTGAGCATTTTTCAAAAAACGCTAATTATTTCTCAAACTATTAATGTTAGGCATAGGACATATGGAATATAAAAGATGTAAAATGAGACGCCGAAGACGACTAAGTAATAAAATATGGGGGGTGCCATTTAAAAAAATGAAGTTATGGTGCTTCTAAATTTCGAAAAGTTAACGTATCATAGTAAAGTGACCAAACGATCTAGACAGCCGTTCTCGGCACCAAAACATACTCCATCATGTTGTTTAAACATGTTCTGAATCCTAAATTAATATCTCAAAAATTTAGTGTTCTATGATTTTTTGAACAAATGTCCGCTGGAACAATTTTTTCTAGAAAAATTCGAATAACTTGCTGGTTCAAATTGCAAAAGTTATTTATAAACCTGCAAAACAGACAAATCCAAATATGTAAAAATATACAGGGTGTTCCATTTAAAAAAATAAAGTAGGTGGCGACTTCCGGTATAACCGGAAGTGCTAGAAATCTGAAAATATTTTAGATGAAGAGAACGTAATTGATAATTCTTAAGTCTGCATTCTCAAATTTTTTGTTTGGCCAGAACCCCAGAAACGTCTAATGACCGGTCTCGCTGAGACACCCTGTAGATGGAAGAAAAATAAATTTTTCAGCCCAATCCTGGCGATAACAACGTATACTAGCGGAAATTCTTCGCCTCCCGACTGCAGGACATTGGCCAAAGAAGTTTGGCCTCAAGCTTATTTTCTGAGTAGTATAGTCATATTTTTCATTGTGCCACTCCTAATTCTTTTAGTATTATACTTTATTATAGCGAAAACATTAATTACAAACGCAGCCACTTTAGTACTCAATAAACACATTGATAGTTACTCAAATAGGGCGAGAAAACAAGTCATAATGATGCTTGGAACGGTTGTATTAAGCTTTTTTGTCTGTTTAATCCCGTTTAGAGTATTTACTTTATGGATTATAGTCGTTCCAGAAGAAAAATTTTATCAATTAGGCGTTGAAAAATACTTTAACATTTTATATTTTTGTAGAATTATGTTGTATTTAAACTCGGCTGTTAATCCTATTTTATATAACCTGATGAGTTCGAAATTTCGAACGGGGTTTTTAATATGTTCCAGTAAACGTAAAAGACGTTATTTTAATCGATCTAGGAACGGCACGATGACCACCACTATAAATTCGAGCAGAAGCAGTTCCTCCACAAACCACCAGGATGGTTATCGGGTTTGCTTTCATTCTAAAAACAATACGATCGCTTTTAAACCAAACGAATCTCCGGTATCGAATAGGAACAGCTTCGGCTTGAAAATGCAGACTGATAGATTGATTAAACACGAAGATATGATCATTTTACACAAAAAAATTAAAGATCAAGATCATATTCGTACTGCACACATTGTGTAGAATGATTTCAATTCACTAAAAGTATTTATTATGTATTTAAAAATGGCCAGTATTCCATTTATATTTGTTATTGTTAAAACTCATTACAATATTTCGAGTTTTACCACTAACACAATTTATACCTATTAGAAATTATTTATTTATAGATTTAGGAAAATAAAAAAAATATTTAAATAAAAACCGCTTATGTTGTAGTAAAGTGTAGGCATCATTGCTGTTGTTATATGTGTCCACAACCAAAGATAATCCCTTCAAAAATAAACATAAACCTTCTTTTGTGTAGACACCATTGTTTTTGTCTGTTTATTTTACCTCGTTTACATCCTCAAATCAACAATAATAACACGACATAATAACGAAACCACATCCACCACCATCTTCAACACATCATGTATTTAACACGTTGCCTGCTCTAAAACAGTAAGTAGTTACAGTATTTTATTATTAATGTCTAGTAGTTAATCTAGAATTTGGAACAGTTGGATTCAGTCTGAACTTTCGGAATTCTCATTAAAATGTGTGCCGGGTATAATAGTTTTCAAATTATAAGGCAAATTACTATTACAAAGGAGACAAACTAAAGGGAGTAATTGCTAAGTTGATTAGCCTGTTTTGTTGGAAACGAGGAACTGAAATTATCTATTATAACTGCGAATAATTTAAATTAAAACGAGGGCCATTCCAACCGTTCTTTATTTTATGTTTTCATATTCATCTACGAATCAAATAATTTGCTGTTAGAATACTGCTTCGTAAATATTTCTGTGTTTTGCAGAAAATGTAACATTTACGTGCAGAATGTGTTTCAAGATTATTTCACTATACATTATAATAAATTAAAAACATCGATGCAATTCAAGCTTAACAGCGTCTTAAAAAAGTTTTAATTATTGATTTCAAGGTCACAAATGTCATTATGAATGTCAATTTTAATCTACAGGGTGTTTCGGTGACTCGGGGAACAAATGTAACCACATGTACTAGAGTGAAAATGATGACAATTCATGTAAAAAAAAATTAGTAAAAGTCCTCAAATTGCAAAGATACAGGCCATCAAAGTAAGGAAATTTTAACACATTTTTCTAAATATCTTAAACACTATTTATGGTAAAGTGTTGAAATTTGGTACAGTGTAAACTAATACCACGTAAAATCATTAGGCAATTTTTGAGTTGCATTGGTACGCGGGAACAATGCTATACAGGTGTTCCTAAAGATTGTTTGCTCAGAACTTTTTTATTCTATCATAACCCTACATTTATTTTTGCAGTTTCTAATAGTAAATTTAGTTTAGAAACTTTTATCACTTTTAGAGAATATTGATAAAAACCACCGTTTTCGTTTTAAATGCAAAAATGTTAGGCTCCGAATTCAATAACACTAAAAAAAATAAATAAATAAATAATCTGAATTGGCAATGACAAGTGAAAATCGAACTGAACAGTCATAACTATTATGTATGCAACATGTCCAAGTGTAGATTTAGCTAAATCTTTAACAACATTTATTTTAGTTGGTTTAATAAAAGAATCCAAAAATAATAAATTTAAAATCAACAAAAAAA